TGGTGGAGGTTTTTAGAAGACCCAAATGCAGAGATGATGAGTCAGAGATGAGTTTTGCTGATTTAATGAAAGATCACGCAGGCAACTGAAGCAAAGTCGAAAAACACAAAACTAGTGAAAAACAAAAGATCCAATGAACACCAATGGGGAGCAAGGAGACAATGAAGTAACAAAACAACAAGAAACCAGTAATGAGGAACAGCAGAGGTGGTGTATATATATGGGGAACAGAACAAAGGATGGGCTAATGAGCTGAATATGGAGCAGGTGTGAATAGAACTAACTAAAAGGGAGCTAAAGCGAAAGGAAACAAGCACAAGGAAGCAACAGGGAGTAACTCAAGAACTCAACACAGCTAGAAAACAACTACCAAGACACAAAATTACATAGAAAATAAAAATAAACCAAAACAGAGGGCAGAAACCTGATACTATTGCCTGATAATTACAGCAATATTTTCTGATTAACAAAAAAGTAAAAGTAATTTATAAAAGACGTTACAAGAAAAGTAAAAAAAAATCTAAAATATCATATGCAAGAATTTTAAGGTGACATAGTTTTATCTTGACTTATGTGACTTATGTTAAAGTTATTTCCCTCTCTTCATGTAGAGTTCGACTAATACAAACTCCAGCACATAATGTACCAGCTTACTAAAATTCACAGAAACTGGACCAATCATCCCAAATTACAGATGCTATCAAGATCTAGATTTGACACGAGTTTTCCAACTGAGCTAGCTGCACTCAGGCTGAACTCTGATCGACCTAAAGTCGTCTGGGAATATCAGACTCAAATCCTCTCCTATCTACTAAGTTTAAATTAATTCTGTGTCATATCTTATCAGAGTAAAAATTTTAATTAAATTATTCAGTAATTAAAAACTCCCTATTACACTATGTCACTGCTATGTAAAGTAGTAGTTTATTATTGACCCGTAATTCATTCTACTAACAAAAACCCAAAATTATAATCAAAGCACTTTGCTTTCAGAGTAAAATGCATTTTATTTTATACAATTAGACGTTTCCTTATATGAAAAGAAAAATTATTAAATCAAAAGCAATCCAAAAAAAAAAAAGAAGAAAAAAACGACACAGAAAAGAACCTCTATTCTCTGCCAAGAAACAAGTTTGCCCAACTGGTTTGGATATAATCATGCAGCTTCATGTGCAAGTCTCAACAGCAGGACACACTGAGGCAGTCCCAGAACTTACTATAGGGTCAGTACATCCCTTTTTGTTAAAGATCTTTTTGAATTCCCCAGAATGAGCTGCAGAATGTCACTGTGGTAAACAATGTCCAGGTTTTATCTGGTATGTTATCTATACTATCCGCCCAGATTCAAGATATGGAGGTAACTACACCATGTATAAGGTGCATTCATGGAGTAATGTTGATGTGAAAGAGCAGTGAGGCTGAAAAGGGAGCAGGCAAAAACAGTCCTGTTTTTCTTTTACATCACCAGGAGCTACAGTAGTTGTGGCAATAGTAGAAAATTAACTGAAGCCTGTTGCCAAGGGGGCTTTTGTTGAAGATGCATTTGAAAAGTAATTTATAAATGAAACACTGAGCTACTGAAATAATGTTAATCATTGCTTTCTGCATAGCTGGTAAACAGGAAATTGATGGGAAAGAAAAGAACCAATAAGGGTACAATTAAGGTTTCTAACTAATTAACCATATTGGAGAGACTAATAGTTCTATCCCCTTGACAAACAGATCTTACATCCCAAACAAAAGTCTACATAATTGCTTTTCTCTGTTTAGTTGAATGCATGGTAAGAACAATCACAAGTTCAGTCCAGGCCTTACATAAGAGTTTGCCTGATGCTTGACTATGTAACTGTGATGGACGTTGTAGTCTTGAGTATTGTTACTTAGAAGAAAAGGCCAAATTAATTTGCTAGGGGATGACTGTATGTAATACTAGATAAGGTGTTAAAGGATTTTCTCATCTAACTTTTAATTGTGCTCTACAGGAAACAATGTGTAATTGCAATCGACCTTTTAGATAAAATACGGGCAAGTCATTTTCTAACTTCTATAAAACGTCTGTAATAAGGAGCTATTAAAACTATGATTTAATTACAAACTGTTCAATAAACAGCTGAAGATGTTCACCAATGTCTTCTTCATTTAAGAATTTAAAGTCTCTGAATTTATAAACCACGGACCTCCATCAACGTTTGCTCTTTATAACAAATTCATTTATATAACAAATGCAAACAAATGTGCTACTTGCTGTGAATAACTTTGATAACATAAATGAGCCAAGACATTAACTAACAGAACTGAAGTAAGAGGGATGACCACAGAATCACCAAAGAAGAAAACAGCTGGTCCAAGACCTATTGGCTGAATCACAATTTACCATATAGCCATTATCCATTTGAGATGTCTGATCTACCCCATGTCTACCTTAGTGCCCAGTGGGGGTAAATCTTTGACTCCTCACAACCACCAATTAGCTTTGTTTTGTATAAGAACCTTACAAATACCAGCAGAATAACATTCTGCACACTAACAGTTGCTTCTATCCAGATGCTTACAGATGCACATCTATACAGATAAACCCAGTTAGCTTTGGCAGAGACTAAATATGTACATTTACCAATAGATACTGTAATGCTACATATTTTTCAGTGATATTATATGCATTGGTTGTTTTTACTTTACTTGAATTCTTTGTCCCTTTTTAATTATATCACCGTCTCTCCCTTTTAAACTTTTGCCTTACCTCTCTCCCTTTTTTTCTTTTTTTATCTATTTTCTGTTCTTTACTTGCCTACATAAAAGTATCAAGCAGAGCTTTATAGGAAAAACAACAATACTTTGAAAGTAAATCTGTTTGACTTCTCTTTTGGCGCTAAGAAAACAAGTCTGAGAGCTACACCAGAAAGGACATGTTAAAAAAACAAACAAAAAAACTCAGACTTGAGTTATGAGCCAAGGGATAAGTGGAGGGGCATGCCTATAGGCTTAAGGTTTTTCTTGGTTCAAGCTGAGCATGCAATACCGTCTCGCTGTCTCATCGCTGCTTTCATTAGGACTACTGGAAGGTTTAATGATTCCAGAAACTGTAAAGATTCAAGAAGGGTAGCTGGGTTGGTGAGTAACTGTCCATAATGTTGGCTTCTTTAGAACACAACACTGAAAGTTGGAGGCTTCAAGGCTTTGCACCAATGTGGAACTATTTTATGTACCGGTATTGCCTTAGAATAATGAATTAACAAGAGCAAAAGGTTTTACAAAGAAATAACAAATAATTTAATTTAATTTGGAGAGAAATATCAGCTGTTTGAGAGAAATATCAGCTGTGCTGCTGCCATCGACACCCTTGTTTGTAGATGTCGGAGATCGGCCTGTTTTCCAGTGTAGTCCTGTTTCTCTGACTGTGGCTGGCTGGATGTGCTCTCTTCATCTTCTGACATGGGAGCTGGCTCAGAGCTCGTCTGCCTGGCTGTGTGTTTCCTGGACGGGGCCGCCTTTTACAGCTGCTTTTAGTATCTCTGCTTCTGTCTCCTTGAACCCCAGTTGGCCTCAGCAGATGGCCGCTCACACTGAGCCTGGTTCTGCTGGAGGTTTCTTCCTGTTAAAATTGAGTTTTTCCTCTCCACTGTCGCTACAACACCGATAAAAATAAGATGCTTTCTTAAGAAGTTTTTGGTCCTACATAACNTCTCTGCTTCTGTCTCCTTGAACCCCAGTCGGCCTCAGCAGATGGCCGCTCACACTGAGCCTGGTTCTGCTGGAGATTTCTTCCTGTTAAAAGGGAGTTTTTCCTCTCCACTTTCGCTACAAGCATGCTTAGTGTGAGGGATTGCATCTGAGTCAACGAGTCGATACAATCAACTTGTTTTCCTTAGATAGAAAACTTTTTCAATTGACTGTATGATCTGGTGAACTGTAAAGTGCCTTGAGATGACATGTGTTGTGAATTGGCGCTATAAAAATAAACTGAATTGAAATTGAATTGAAATAATTGAATTTTTTAATTCAAATGTGAAGTATAATAATTCTTTAAAAAGACGAAAAGAAAAATGTCTAATATTTTAATGGGAAGAAATATGTGATGAGAAAGAAGTAATAGTTGATGTATTTAACATCACCTATGAAACAGTGAACTTTAAAAGGATTTGGCGTGTTAGGTTAGTCAAAAGATATTCCTGATTAAAGAAAGTTGAAGATTCAAGAAACAATTTAAAGAATAAAGATAAACACTTACTGTAAAAAAAATTATAGCAGAAATGTTTTCTTTTAAACTTGATAAGTTCAAAACTTTTCAATTAGAAACGAATAATACTACTACTAATAATAAAATAATAGTGTGTGAATTCCCAAGCTCTATGTTGAGTTAGAATTTCATTAATTTAGTTGTCAGATATGTTGAACATCATAAGGTTTCTACTTGGGGCAAGATTTAGACCTAAATTATAGTAGATTCTATTGTGTAATTGAACCCCGCTTCAAAAGAAAGATTTTAAAAGGCAAGCTATTGACTGATGCTGACTTTTACGGATTGTGAACATTCACAGTCATTTGGAAGCCACATTAGAGAGCTTTTCATCTCCACCAGGCCGCAAAACACAGGATTAGGATCCCTCTCATATTTCATGTTGCGCACCTGCCTCAGACTAAACAACATTCCACTGTTAGTCTATAAAAAATAAGCTCTCAACTGAAGAAATAGGCTACCACACACCTAGGAAGACACCCTTGTGACTGTCCCATTGTTTACTTTAGGAAATTTGACCCAGGTGATGTGCTGACGTCACTAAGACCTCTCTTCTGTTTTTTTTCTCCCTTCCCCCAAACATTGTTGTCCTTTCTTGAGGAACTTGTGTCACAAATATGCAGAAAAACAAGTATTCATTTTAAAATAAACTAGAACTCATATTGGGTGATGATTATAGGGTATCATAGTGCGTTTGTCGCTTTTCCTTGGTTTGACCGTCAGTGAATGAAAGGTGGAAGTGATGCAATGTGTCTGTGCACCTGTCCCCCCCTCCCCTCCCTGGAAAGCGCACACATCGACCTGGTAGTAGGACTACAGAGCAGCGGGACGCGCGAGCCACTGGGTGGAGCAGGCAACGGCGCGTGCTGCGGAACACATTCGGTAGGTCGTTAACCGCGCCGCGCGCGGTCTGGATGCAGATGCGGGTCGGAGAACGTCAGCGTGAAGCAGCGGGGGGACATGGCGAACGGGCGCGGGCGGCGATGCGCCTCGTGAGGATACACTAGGTAGAGAAACCGGGAGCGGAGGCAGTGAGTCAGGCAGCTCGAGGACACAGTTCAAGAAGTGGGAGAAGAGGGTGAACCATGGAGGACTCGGAGCCCGCGGAGGACGGCTTGCTCCCGGGTCTGCGGTGGAACCGGAGCGCACGGGACCAGGCGCAGCTCAAACACAAAATCCGGGATCTGCCGGGGTTGCTCAAGCACGGGCTGCACCTGCGGAAAAAGAGCGTGAGTATTTCAAACAGACCACTGAATGACTCCCCGTCCTTCCGTGTCTGATATATAATGAACGTTACAGCTGTGTTATCTTTAACTGTCAGGTTGGCTGACCCTACTTTGTGTTCTAGGGCCGTTTTGTAGCCTCGTCACGACTCAGGTGTTTTTCATGTTCCCACGAGCATAGATGTCGCAGAGGCAACCTTTTTTATATATAAATGTGTGCGTGCGCAACTATGCTTGTATCCTACTACATGCATAAGGACTAGAATAGCTTTTGGACACCATACCTTTACAGTCTCGTAGTCAAGGCAACAGCACCAGATCCACAGTCACATTAAAAGTACCTGTCGTGATGAAATGTGTCTGCTGCACAGTGTTCCCTCTGTTCTGATCAAACATGTTTTTTTCCCTCCTTATTTCAATAACATCTCAATTAAAAAAATAGGAAAATGTATTTATTCAATTAAAAGTGATGTAATCTAAGCTGGCATTAAAACGTGAGTTGTTTTCCTCACCAAATTAGGTGTAATTAATTACCAAATCTTACCACATACTCATACATTTTGGCAGATTCTTAGTTATCCTAGGTTTAAGCCAACAAACAAAAATGATAGACCCATTATAACATCACAGACTCAAACCACAGTTATATACTTTTTTCAGTCTTGATGAGACAACAATCTAAATGGCTAGAAATAGAAAAAAAAAATTTTTAAATGTAAATTTCAAATGAAATTGATATTCTGAAGATCAACTCAAGAGCACCCTGTTCATGTTTCAATGCCAGCAGTTTCAAAATAAGTTAAAAGTAGGATTATTGATGCAAATGTGGTATGGCCTGCATGGTGCAGTTTCAAAGCAGGATACCCTTGAGTAAAAGTACAACACTGCATCTATAAAACACTTATATTATGTTTCCTGCAGTAGAAGCAACATTGAATATAGTATTTTCTTATGAATTTATTTAGCTTTCAATCCAATTACCAAAAAGAAAATATAAACTAACACAATTATTAACACAATTACTAGTTTTTAAGTCCTAAGTGCAAATAATTTACCTTGTTTTTGCCATTCTATTTCTTATAAAGTATCACAAATATAGAAAGCTGGTTTTAGCTGGTTAATTGTTTCGACTATTTGCTGGAGCTTTGTTTGTTTTACCATTGAAAACATTTCTAAACTGTCTAATATATATCTCCTGTTAAAGGTAAAAAGTAATCAGTGTAGCTGTGACAGGGGGGTGGGAAATCAAACTCTGTTCCCTCTTTGCACCTTCTGTGGCATCTTTATAAGAAACCATAGTACAGAAAGTTTTAGCTTTAAAATGTGAGTTTATGAAGCCTCTCTACAGCTTCTGCCACCTGGTCCATTCCTATTCCAATGTAGTCCCTAAAGCCTTTATGGTTTGTGTTTTTTAAGTCTCAAATGCAGTATTCCTTAAATAAATACAATACAGGTAAATCTTTCTTATTGGATTTCTTTACTCAAGATCAGCCAATGAATCAATCTGCTTGTGATTTATCTGAGTTTTGCTTTGCTGTGTTTTACAAAACTCACCCAACAAGCCAACTGCTCTGCTCTAAGGTGTCCATTCTGCTCATGTTTCTTATCAGTGGGAATCACTCAAATACTCTCCCTCAGTTCCCGTTTTGAAAATCATCTGTGTTGTGTCAGGACTTCCTGTCTCGCAGGAGCCAGATGTGCTAAAAATATGCAGCTTTTCTCTTGTTAAAGCCACACAGGACCACCAAGAAGACTCCTTTTTTTTTTTTTTTTTTTTTTTTTTTTTTTTTTGTCATGTTACATCAGGTAATTTTAAGAAATGTGCAAATGAACTACAAATTGAGGTCACCCTGTCTTCTGCTAAGGGGGAAATTCTCAACGTTTTCTCACATAATTGATCGCTCATGTTGGACCTTAATACAGAGGTGAATAAAATATGCATGAACCTACATTGATATAATCAGAAACACAAAGTATAGGATCTAGGATTCAATAATCTTAATTAGAAATTAACCACTGACCCTTTACTTTGTCTAGAAAAGGTTTCCTGCTTTCTTTCAAGTGGGCCCTGCATGTTTTCTTTTTGGCTGATCTTGATGGTCATGTATATTTTTTAAAACCATTGTTACACACAATAGAAAAAAATAAGCTGCAAGTTTCTGGATAGAAGTAATAGTTTTATATTCAACAAAAAATTAAAGCATTACAAGCGTATCTACATTTCAGACAGTGATGAAGTAGATGTGACATATTTCTGTTTCACTTTTGTGAGTTGTGCAATGAGGCAGATGAAATTAGTGTAAAGAATGTTTGCAGACTGGTCCTCATTGAATGCTATCAGTTTCCTTCACTTGACATGGCTGTTGCATGCAATAAAAACATTAACAGAAGAGATTGCTCTAAAAACATCCTTCAAAACCACCAGTTTGTCACAGCAAATATAAAATATACAGTGAATCTAAACCATCCATTGCCTCAGAGTCTAGCCTTTAGAACCCTTACTTTGGAGAATCCTGTGTCACATTATTACTTCCTCTGTGGCTTGGCTGTTGCTGCTTTGAACGGATGCAATATGGAGAGAGAGAAATATTTAACAACACTTTATCTTTTACTTCTATCACATTAGCCAGATTGCAAGTAAAAAAAAAAAGGTTAAACAGAATAATCTGGTTATTTTTCCTCCCACTTGCTTTTTTTCAACCCTTGACAGGTGCTGGAATTAAAAGTCAATGATTGATAGCTACCCATGTGTTATTGTTTAGGTGCTGCTCTGTTTCTCTGAAATATCTGTGAAACATTACAGTAGATATGCTCAGTGAGTCCTGTGGGGATTGGCACTGGGATGTTTGAAGTGAATCCGGTGGGTCTTGTGGAATCCAGGGTTAATCCTCTGTGGATCAGAGATGCATTATTAGATTGCAGTATAGGGAGTTTGACAACCGAGTTAACCCTTTGCAGGCTATTTTTGTGTTTGTGGAGCTGCGTTCTGCTGCTGTTGGAGGGATCTGCTCTCTCTCTCTGAGGTTGTTTTCCAAGCCAAACATCACTCTCAAATAATGTTATGATTAGGGCTGCAACTAACAATTATTTCGCTAATCGAGTAATCTGTCAATATTTTTTTTCGATGAATCGATTAATAATCAGATAGCCAAAGGTTCCTTGAAGATTTTTTTTTTCAAAATTAAACCAGGTGCAACTAAACATTTTCCAGTTGTGGAGTTCTGGATAGAGCATATTCAGTCGAAAACATAGTTTTTTTTTTTTTTTTTATCTTAAATGCAAAATGGTTATATATATTTTTACAGTTTTGATATAATTACTGCTCTATGTCGGTTACTCTGTCAGCTAAAGGTATATGTTACTGTCTCAATACTCAAGTTAACGATTAATCAATTACTAAATTAGTTGATTAATTTAATAATCGTTTATCACGATTATTCCGATTAATTGTTTCAACACTAGATTAACTAATCAATATAGTTCACTTGATATTTGTAATGTTTTGGTGCTTGGATTTATCAGTGAATACATTTGATTTGGGGAGGTTTATCTTTCATAAGAAACTAGATCAAAATTGAATTGTTTTCATTTTTTCTTACATTTTTCTTATCAGATAAAAATTTAGTACAATTCGGTATCTTTTTTTTTCTCTTGAAAAAGGATCTGAGGCGACATTTTATGATTTTTATAGCTCACTGAATTTACTAATTTAAGAATATACTGATTTGCTAATGTTCTCCAATTTGATGCTAGGTTTATGCATGAAAGCCTTCTGGTTTAAAAGATGTAAGGTTTTCTCAGCAAATACTTGTATTTTCCAAAAAACTCCTGCTGACAGTGTAATTCAAAGTAATTGTTTATGAGCAATATCTACATAATTTTTTTTATTTTTTATTTTTTTACTGTTACTGTTTTAAATAGAACTCATCATCACCTTTGCTGCCCTTTCAAACTATAATCTAAAGCAGGAGTCTTCAACGTTTTCCAGGACCCCTAGAGTGATGGCAAGATGGAGCGGGGACCCCCTAATTATATATATTGTATGAAATTGTGTTATATCAAACTGGTCCTATAGTCACTCTATTACATATGGCGTAATGTAACAAAAGTAATTTCACTCTGGGATTATTAAAGTATTTCTGATGCTGATTCCTCATTGATGGGACAGGTGTTGTGAATGAAATGGTGCCCAGTGTGAAAGAGCTCCTGTGTGTCGATGAATGTGAGCATTGATGACTGAAACACATCTACTGCCTCCATTTATCTGTTTACTACAGTTTATTGAATTCATGTTAATGTGTATTTAAAGACATTTCAATCAGTGGAAAAAATTACAGGGGCGAATAAAAAAGAAAAATTATCAACCAAAACGTTTGCGACCCCCGTGCAGTACCTCTTTGGACCCCTTAGGGCTCGTGGACCATCTGTTGAAGACCTTCGATCTAAAGGCATTGCATATCAGTTTGCATGACACAGTTAGCTTTATCAGCCAAAGCTATTTACAGATACAAAAATCCTGTGCTGAAGACATCGTCTCTTTCACATTCCTGAACAAATATGGCCAACCATTGTGGCTACCTCACATGAAACACGCTCAAAAATATGGAAATAAACATCGTTTATTAATATCAGCCCAGTTGTAATTACAGCACAAGTACCAATAGGGGAAAAGATTGCTGATATGATGTTTATAGTGATATATTGTGCACCGCTAGCCAGTACAGTTCTCTTCACACTCATGAATGAGTCAAGATTTCATGTTGATGAAACTTGAATGAAAAGTCTGTAAACAAACTGACAGAAAATAAATCTAAATGTAAAGTTGATTGCTTTTGCCTGTTAATGCTTTTCTAAAAAACTCTCTATGATTAGTACCTTACAGAACAGTTCAAGTTCCTCAGGAGCTGATAAAATTTCTTCAATAAAAAAGCTGCAAACTTTGGCTTTGGATGTGATTTGTGCTCTGCCATATATATTCATCTTTTCTAACTGCATTAAACATAAAA